CAGTGGCCGGGATTCCCCCAGAACCATGTCCTCATTTTCAGCCACGTGAGGATCGCCTCTGTCTATCATCCAAACGCACTTTCATGCAGTTCCGTGTTGCGCCGGACATTCAGTATTACTGTGATTTTGTCCATTTTTAGGCAAAGCACCTCCTGCAGCAGCTGGTCCGATCAGAGCGAGGATAAGTCCCTGTATGGAGCAGAGATCCAGATGCCAGACCCGCAGTCCTGTTCCTCCCTGTGTGGGGACGGACTCTACAAGTGTCCCTCTGTGCAGTCTGTTGACTCAGTGGCGAGCACCTTCCTGCCGAGCCCTTCTCCTGACTCCACACGCTCCTCCTCCACCACACGCATAGGTACCATCAGATATACCCCGACAGCCCTGTGTGATGAGCTCATTTCACTGACCCCACCTGATGTTCCATGCATGTACAGATGTTCAGATTTTAAATCAGATGTTATTTAATCACTGTTTATTTTGTAAAAGTGGGTAATTTCACATTAATGCTTTCATGCAATGGAAATGTGAGTTTTCTAAGTCGATTCGATTGTTTCAATCACTAAACTTCTTTTAGCTGTTTCTGTTTCACATGTTTATCATAAGATGAGATGAAATAAGATGAGATGAGATAAGATGAGATGTACCTTTATTGATCGCCCGTAGAGGAAAGTCAAATTCACACCGCAGCACAAGGGGACAAATGTAATAAACAACTAGAATAAGAATAGAAACAGAATCTAAAATAAATAAGATAAATTAGAAGTACTATATACAATAACATATACAAATGCAAAGTAGGTATTTCTGTGCATGTGCAAATCTAAAAATAAAAAACTGGAATATCACATTGATGGTAATCAGACACTTTGCTGTGACACACAGCCAAGAGAGATTCTAGCTATATATTTTAACCATTTATCAATTTCTTTTAACTAACTTTAAACATTTGATCCATTTGTAATGTATTTTAAAAAATTTGTCCTTTGCTTTTAGTTATTTCACTTGTATTCACACTACTTTTACCTATTTCAACCACCATTCCTTTTAGCTAATCATTTTTCCAACTTGTATGATTTTTTTTTCACATAGTGTTTAAGATATCCGTCGCTCTATTCCCTCACCCTAGGCGTTGCTCGAGGTCAGCCCAGCTGGCTGCTCCCTCCCTGGGCACTGGCTGTGATTTACCCCCTGGTGGCCGTGCTGCTGGGAACCTGCCTGACCGTGGTTGGACTCTACGGCAGCTTCTTCTCCAGACCGGTAGTCCTCATGTGGCTGATATCAGCTCTCTCTGCCTTCCTCACCTCTGCTCTCCTGCTGGAGCCTCTCAAGGTGAGTTCAAACACGTCTTCTAATTAACTCGCTTCTTTGATCTCTTGGTGAATAGTTCCTTTGATTTGCATCTCTGTCTTCCTCGCTCAGGTGTGTGTGCAGGCGTTGGTCTACACAGCGCTGTGGAGGCCTGTGGATCCAGAGGTGGAGGAGCAGCTGGCTCAGGAGACCACTGTGGTGAGGGCATTTGGAGAGCATTGTGGAAAGGTTCGACCACCATGTGGCTACGGACTGCTGCAGGCTAAAGAGGAGGCACGCAAAGCCCAAGCTCTGCGATCACTAATGAGGGTGAGAATAACAACAAATTAAAAATTTTAAGGGCATTTTTCTCTCTTTTTTTTATCGTTTTAATCTGTCTTTTCTCTAGCACTGTGTGTGCCAGCTGTTATTTCTGTTGCTGGTGCTGATGGTGAACTACCAGGACAGCGTAGAGCGGAGGCAGGGCAGACTGCTGCACTCCTCTATCAGACGCCATCTTCACACAGCACCCTTGGGGGTCCCTAACCTCACCTCACTCAGAGAGTAAGGACACTCTACTTCATGCTGTCACAACACTACATCATACCAAACGTAACCAAGCAAAGCATGACATCATATTCATAATATGATGTCATGCTTTGACAGAGATCGTCTCTGTCAGCTGTGCACATGACTTTCACTGTGTAAACTCATGTTTACTCTCTCTCCATCCAGCTGGTCGGATGCAGAGCAGTGGATCAACCACACCTTGGTGCCACACCTGCACCGACACCCTCCACTGCATCTTGTGGGGTTGCCACGGCTGCGGTACACACGCAACACACTTGACCACACAGCAAGCGTCCTTCTGGGAAACAGCAGCGTGATGACACGCCAGCTCCTCGGTGACCTACACGTGTCCGATTGGAGCAAGAAGTTGTGAGTGGATTTGTTTTCATTTTTCAGAGCAACCAAATCTATGTGATTACCTTGTTTTTGAAAGTAATGAGACGTTTCACCTCATTAAAACAAAACAATGCAACATCTTTTCTTCTGCGAACAAATGGAGCAATAAGAGATGACAACATATTATTTGCATGATGTGACTTAATTTTCTCGTGTAGATTATCAAGATATTTTGTATTTCAAAACTCCCAGCTTCCTCTGATGTATCTTTTGAGTTATGGATGATCTTAACCCTTAATTGTGAAGGTTTTATATTGAATTATATCCCTTTTCTGTGAGACCGTCCTCCTGTGAAAAACGAGCCCGTAGGTCGTTTGTGCAGCAGGTTGTCGTGACCCTATTTCAGTGACATGTTATAACAGTGTATTCTTCATCTCTTCCAGGTTTAAATCTCTTTCTGTTGATTTCACACACTACCATAGAGAGTCTGGTTTATTTGTGTGTGTGTCCGTTCAACTTGAGTGGGCTCAGACGCAAAGAGTCACTCCCTTCCTCTCCATCCATCCACTCCTCATCCCTTCATCCTTCTCAGGACTGGACCTTCAAGTGGCACTAATGGTAACACTCTGTTTACTCTCAAATACAAAAAAAAAAGAAAAAAAGGAAATAGAAATGAAGAGCAATACATCAAAAATAATTTCAATGATAAAACCCTATGACTTATTATTGCAGGGTCTTCTTCTCGTCTCTGCTCTCCTCATCTTGCTCGGGCAGCTGTGGTCCATGGTTACTGAGCGTGCCCAGTATCTGCATCAATGCAGACACTGGTTCCAGCTCCTGTTGGCCTTGTTGTCACTGGCAACGGTTATCCTGCAGTTCTGCTTCCTGTCTCTTGCCTCTTCGTGTGTTTCCAAGGTAAATACCAAAAAAAAGGAAACTTTCCAGATGACACACTGACATCACCTATTACATCATTGTAAGGCCTTTCCTATGCACCGCTCTCACTGGACTCAGTGGTAGAAAGAAATAGTGATTGTTAGTTTAAAAATTGCTATTAAAGTAGAGATTGACTAAGAGATGTGTTGCTTTGTTGTCCTTACAATAACCTGTGTTTTAGCTTCGGTCCCAACCAGACGACTTCATCAACTTCCACAGCGCTGCCCTTCTGGCGCAGAGGTCGTCTCAGTGCGCAGCCGTCCTGCTCACGCTGCTTGTTCTAAAGGTAAATGAGAGCTCTGGTTTGTTTCTTCATACAATAACACTGGTCCACAGTTTCACCGCTGTATTGAATGTCTGCTCCTCCCTATCGCTGTGTGTTCTCCAGCTGCTGGGAACCCTGAGGTTTGTGCGGAGGTGGGTGGTGATAGGCAGAGTGCTGCAGAGAGCCTGGGGGGAGCTGTGGGCTCTGATTGTCCTACTGCTGCTGCTGCTCGTGCTCTGCACTCACCTTGGAAACACGGTACAAAAAGAAAAGCTCAAGAATAGAATGTTTATGAAGAAGAAAAGTATGTGATATAGCCTTGTCTTCGTTTCAGCTGTTCTCCCGTTCAGTGGAAGGCTTCCTGTCTGTACAGGAGGCCGGCGTGTCAGTGCTGTCCATCCTGCGTGGACGAGTAGCTCTCCAACAATTATGCAAAGTCCACACAGTCCTTGGATCCCTGTATGGACTACTACTGATGGGGGGAGGTCTGTGGCTATTGGCCAGACTCTGTGGTGCTGTTCTCATTCATACATACAGGTACATAATATTACCTGCAGTATGGGTGGGTGGGTAAAACTCCCAGCACTGCATTATCAGAATGAGTGCTGCATGGAATGCAAAAAAAAAAATCATATTGCGATTATTTTGGCAGATGTGAACGGTTGTTTTTACATTTCATTTTCACTGAAAAAATAATAAAATGATGATGATGATGATTTTGTCAGAACAAAGATGTTCCTTTATGACTGGAGAGTATGATTTGTAGTCCGGGGCGTCTCTGTAGCACCACAACGCTTATGATGCTAACAACACTTTTTATTGCAGCTCCTGCGATTTGGATATTGCACTTGGCCATATCGTGATTTTGATTATATTTCGATTAATTGTGCAGAACAAACAAAACATTAAATGAAACCAAAACCTCCAGTGTCCCTCTTTGTCTGATATGACAAGTTCCCAACGTAGGTTTTTCTTGAACAAGGGTAAAACTTCGACCAGATGATGGTGCTAGATGGAAAGTCGAGGGATTTCCACACTGATTACAGTTTGTCCTGTGTGGAACATGAATGTCGTAACAACATTTCACAGAAATCCGTGCAGTAACTGTTGAGATATTTCAATATGGACCGAAGCAGTGACCCAACAGACGTCAGCTATCTGCTTTCTGATCTGACTGTCGAACCGGCTGATTGTTCTCACATGTATGAGAATAATTTTGCCAGTGAACATGCTGACCTGAAAGTGTGGTAGCTACAAAATGCAGAGCACCAACAAGGGAGTTTAAAAGTGTTAAATTTTGCATTAATCAGGTTTCATTGCGAACTCTTCCTGTGTCCTAAAGGGCAGAGCAGGCTGAGCTGTACCGTCCAACCATTGAACCTCAGGACTATGAGATGGTAGAGTTTTTCATCAAGAGACTCAAGCTGTGGATGGGACTCACCAAGGCTAAAGAGGTAAAGAGTTGTAGTAGCAGTGTAGTGTTTGAGACGTCGATGTTGCTTATTCCACACGTTTCGTTTCCTTTCTAGTTCAGGCACAGGGTGAAGTTCGAAGGCATGGACATCCCTCCTTCCAGATCCTCCCAGGAATCCCGTCTCTCCACCTTTTCATCCACCCTGCCCTCCTCCTACTCTCCTTCCCTGTCCTCCTCCTTTTCATCCCCCCGTCCCCCGTCCTCAGCTCTGTCCGTGAGGTCCGAGGACTCATCGGTGTCCGAGCCTGGGTTTGACGTCTCTCCCTACCTGGACCGCCTAGCCCCCTGTGTCACTGCTCTGCTGTCACGTTTTGATCGGGTCAACCAGATAACCGAGGATATTCACAACCTGGAAATGAAGCTGGAGGAGGCGCAGACCAGGAGAAGGAACAGGTGGATCAGTAACAACGAGGAAGTTGCAAAAAGATTCGGAGGGTCGACAACAAAGCCAAAGGAACCAGAAGACAGAAGGGTAACAGGAGAACTTAAACACAGGACGACGGGTCCTCTTTACAACGAGCCATCCTCCGATTCTTACGATCCCCCCGCACTTCACTCCTCCGCTGCCTCCATCTGCATCTTTCCCCGAACACTGAGCTCCTCCCCCGAGTCTGAGTCTGAGTCTGCATCTAGAGTCTGCGGTTTGTATCCCGCCGGTTCTCCTAGTTTTGAACGGTTCCCCGGGAGAAGAGCTTGGCATTCTGGGAGCTCTCATTCAGCTGATGCGGCTCAGAGGGGCTTCCAGTTCCTAGGAGGAGCCGTTCCACGTGGAAATGGCGGAGAAAATTTAGCATTCACAAACGCCAGACCCAGGAGCGAAGAGGGGGTGAGGAGGCGTGTCAGTGACGGGATCCCCGTGAAGAGGAAGGCTTGGATCTCTGAAGGACCAGACACTGAGCCAGATGACAGCTGATTAATCCTGTTGTCGCTGATAGAGGCTGGGACTGGATCTCCGTAGCAGTCTTCAGCCGTAACACGCTGAAGCAGCTGGACTCTATTGCTTCTTTGGAACTGCATCATTTTTCGGTCTCTTCTTGCCTCTATGAGTTCTTTCAAAATAAATGTCTTGTATCCTCAGCAGTGTTTGGGAATCGCCAGTGTTACAGAAAACTGAACTCCTTCATGAGAGAGAATGAATGTGCTGAATGCTGTTGTACTTTTATATAAGAAACTATACTATAAGAAACTCTGCAGATAAAATAAAGACAAGTGACCATATGGTCTGAAGGTGGCTTCATGCTTCATTTCTTCAAACATTTTGTATATAACAGGAAAACTGTCCCACCATGAAAGTACTGTGTGTTCTTCTGCTTTTATTAATGTGTTTGGTGAAAGTAAATAACACGGTGCTGTGAGTATTTTATCAGCAGTAATTCTTTTATCTGAAGGAAAAAAAACCTCAATAGAAAAGTAAACACATGATAACACTGCAGCAAACTCTGCTACTGCGGAGAGCCACGCTGAGGTGGATGACAGCGCTGTTTGTCACTATAAAATTACATTAATGGATAATGCATTTTGTATGATATGCAGCTTTGGCTTGGTTTTATTAAGAACAATATATAAATAACATCCATGCAAAAATATTGAAAACAAACACAGATTTAATAGTAGAGTAATAGAGAATTGGTTATGACTATGCAAAGCCAAATATTTTAAATAAAATAACATTTCAATATAAAAAGCATTAAATAAAAACATGTAAAATTGAAGCATTGCTCAAGATAAAACGATCAAAAAGCGAAGTTTCATATGTTTATTCATTAATTTATCCTGAACGTCATTTGGTATCACCTTTTGACCTTGCAGAGTGACCCTTGGCATTCACCTGTCGATACCTTCAGCATGGACACAAATATTAAGTTTTCCAAAAGTTTGTGTTCCTTCCTTTAATCACAAAATTGACATTGTCTTGAGGTCAATGATTATTTTGTCCGTTACTTATCTTTACTTATCATTTTCTGTGGCACTTCTGTGTGTGCGTTGCCTTATCGTCTCGCTGCGGTACAACGTCAGTCCACCTGTATAAAAGAGGACGCATGGCTCTCTGTGGGCACTCGGGTTCTTAGAATCTACAGGTGAGTACACTGGGAGGACCACACACCCACTGCATGACTATTGCAGTTTGAATGGTTCTTGCGATGTCACCGACCTTTTCTTGACATGATTCTGATTTGCTGTTCTGCACCCGCTGAAATACTTTGTCTTCTACAGTTGACAGCAAAGCCGTGACAATGAAGTGGGCCTTTGTTCTGTGTGCCATGGTGGCACTGTCTGAGTGCTTGGTCAAGTAAGTCAACTCCACCACTCTGACATGTCCCTGTACTTGCTCTATGTTTGATTCTTTGATTCTTATGTGATCCTAGAGCCTAAGCTTCATTAACTACCCTGAAATAAAAGTCAGGCCTCCTCTCGTGTACTCTGCTCAAGAGAGAAATTCTGCAGCTGGGTCCCGAGAATGTCTCGGTCATGTTTTCCGAATTTGCAAGTAGTGAGAGGTTTAAGAGGAAGGACATCTACAGAGACCTCTTAACAGATCAATAAAAGGTTTACATTTGTAAAGAACAGATTTTTAAATCGCTCTCTTTGGTGAATCCTAGGATCCCTCTGGAGAAGGGTAAGACTGCCAGGGAGTTCCTGGAGGAGCAGGGTCTGTGGGAGGACTACAGGCAGAAGTACCCATACAACCCCATTTCCAAGTTTGACCAGCGCTTTGCCGTAGCTGGCGAGCCCATGACCAACGATGCTGACGTGAGTAATGGAGGCTAGAGCTTTAACAGAAGACAAGACGGCGACTTCGAATAATCATGAATAACCTCCGTACCTCCTCTTCATCTCCAGGTGGCTTACTATGGAGTCATCTCCATCGGAACTCCTCCTCAGTCCTTCAAGGTCATCTTTGACACCGGCTCCTCCAACCTGTGGGTGCCCTCCGTCTACTGCAGCAGCCCCGCCTGCAGTATGTAAAATTATACACTTACAACATTTTACAGACAGGTATTAGACAGCTGGAATGAGCTTTAATATATAAAAGTTCAAAGGACGTTTTGCCATTTCTCTCAGCTGTAGGTAATTCAAACATTAACAGTTGAAGAATGTTTTACTTCACTTTCATTATCTTCCCTTCATTACTTTTGACTTCTGCTAAAGTGCCAAAAAAAAAAGAAAAAAACTTATTAGAAATCTAAACTGTATCAGTGAATATTAAAATATCTTTTTGCACATCTGTATCCTCCTAGACAACCACAAGAGGTTTAACCCCAGCACGAGCAGCACCTACAAATACAATGGCACTCCTCTCAATATCCAGTATGGCACCGGCAGCATGACCGGCTTCCTCGCATACGACACAGTGACGGTGAGAAATAGAAGCATCAAGAGTACAACATCATTTTAATAAATATTTATCTACTGTTACACACTGATTACTACTTTGTCCTACAATGTTCAAGCTGAGAAAAGGGAACCATGATTTGCTGATGATATAAATAATTTGTTGTCCTGTGTTGCATCAAGATTTTAACAAAATTTAAAAATCAAATTGTCGTCAGGTGGGTGGCCTTGCTGTGACAAACCAGATCATCGGCTTGAGTAAGAGTGAAGCTCCATTTATGCAGTACATGCGTGCTGATGGTATCCTGGGCCTGGCCTACCCTCGCCTGTCTGCCTCCGGCGCCACACCCGTCTTTGACAACATGATGAAGGAGGGTCTGGTCAACCAGGACCTCTTCTCCGTGTACCTTAGCTCGTAAGGACGGTCATAGTTTTGCGGTGTCCCGTGTTGGGAAAGGGATTGTTTTATGGATGTCACAATACAACGTTCTAACTTTTACTACCAATACTGAGACGGTGACTCATTTCTGGCACGTTTATCAGTAAGTTCTCACTTTCTTTTGTAGTAACTCTGAGCAAGGTAGTGTGGTGACCTTCGGTGGTATCGACTCCAACCACTACTACGGCAGCATCACCTGGATTCCCCTCTCCAATGAGCTGTACTGGCAGATCACAGTGGACAGGTAAAGCCCACAGTCCCTCTGAAATCTCTCCGGATCAAAGTGACATCACAGGCAAAAGTGTTTGATATCTGTCTGTACTCTGTCTCTGTCAGTGTTACCGTCAATGGTCAGGTTGTGGCTTGCAACGGTGGTTGCCAGGCTATTGTGGACACCGGCACTTCTATGATTGTTGGACCTCAGAGCAGCATCAGCAGCATCAACAGCTTTGTGGGAGCTAGCAGCCAGAACGGAGACGTAAGTACCTAAAAAAAAAAAACTTGTTGGTCAACAGATATTTCTGTAGAGTCGTATTAAGTATTACCACAAAAAAAAACAGTTAGACGGTAGAACTAAATTTTGATTTCCTTTTCCTATCTTCTCTCAGAGTGTTGTAAGCTGCAACAACATCAGCCAAATGCCTGATGTGACCTTCCACATCCACGGACAGGAATTCACCCTCCCAGCCTCTGCTTACGTCCGCCAGGTAAATGATTACTTCCCTGTGGCCCTTTGTATTGTCTCATCGCTCTGTGCTTCATATCTGAAATTCTCCTGCTGAATCTCTCCCACAGTCTCAGTACTACGGCTGCCGCACTGGCTTCAGCGGCAGCGGTGACAGCCTGTGGATCCTGGGTGATGTCTTCATTAGACATTACTTTGCTGTCTTCAGCAGAGCCCAGAATATGGTGGGTCTGGCCAGGGCTAGATAAAGAACCCGAAGTCACCAATTAGAGACAAGAACCATGCAACAATCATAAATATGCAATTGTAGGACTTCCACAGTGCAACTGTAATATGTGATGCTTGAGACTCAAGTCTTTTCCTTGTCCTGTAGATGATTAAATTTTCTCAAATCCAATAAAAAGAGTTTTGTCAATCAATTTGACTGGTGTTTTGTTATTTAACTGTACAACAAACAGACAAAATAAGCTGCTATAATATCTCATTTGTGACGGCAACCCGGCGAAACACATCTGTTGATGCAAAGACACTAAAAACAAATCATACATGCAAAACAACTGCAGTGTTTTAAAGTGAACTCCACACAACAATACAACTATTTTGTGAGAAAACTCACTTTGAAAAGTTCTGATTCAGCTTTTGCAGGGTCCATCCCATTGCCATAGTTATAAGATATTCATAGATATACTTCATATCTGCTGAGCTACTGAGTGATCATATAAAAGCATGATGTTTCTGCCCTGGTCCCAGTCGCTCTTCAGGGGAGGGGTATCCTGTTGTGAAACGCTGAAAGATGTTATTTTGGAAGTGGTATGAGCTCTAATTCGTTTTATTTTTAAAGCCACAGTAGCATTTTGTTAAAATTCAGTATTCTTTCCCACTCTATGAAGGAGTTTGGCTCCAAACAAGGTATTGATACACATTGATAAAAATGGATTTGAAGCGGCTCTTCAACCTTTTTGTCAAATCCTTTGAAGTGGGATAAAGCCAGGGTGAGGATGGGAGTTATGGGAGTTCTTAATACAGCTGATATGTCTTTTATATATATATGTGTGTGTGTGTGTGTGTGTGTGTGTGTGTGTGTGTGTGTGTGTGTGTGTGTGTGTGTGTAATCTTTTCCCTCTTATTGCCATTACAACACTCTTAATCTCTCACAGACCACTGATTGTTTAGAGTTTTCCTGGCTTGTTGGCGCGCCATCATGTGTCAATTTAGGGTATTGCAATAAAGTGTTCACCTTACGAAAGAAAATAAGTTTTGGCTGGTCAACAAAGTAGCTGACGTTAGCTTGCCAAACTAACTAAGCGACACACTTGGCGGATTAGGATGCTAAGGCTAGTGTGGTGCTGGTCGGCGTCCAAAAATAGCCGCGTTGAGCCCGCACGCCGTGTGACCGCAGCTGTCCTGGGAGCGGACAGGTTGCAGCAGAACCCAGGGGGCAACACAAGGTGTTTCAGACATATTTCCCACCCACCGAGCTACAAATCACCGCTCCACCATCCCCAGCCGGCCTGCCACCTGAGGTAAAGCCTTCACGGCTAACAAGTTGCTAACCTTAACGCTAGCTGTGCGTCACATGGAGTAAATGTGTCTAATTTAGCAACGAAACCTCACGAGGCGTTTGAGTGTGATGTTGTCTGCCGCACGGTCGCCGTCGTTGTTGTTGTGAGGGTTGTGAACGTTACGCGGAACTCCTATACAAAATAATACAATTCAATATGGTCGTATGATGAAATATTACGACGACGCACATCCTTGTGAATAAAAACCTGTTAACGAAAATCTAAATGCGTCGTGTTTCAATTTCGATAAAGCCAAGAAGCATCATTTATTTTCTAACGGTTTGCTTGTTACTCCTAAAAACCCACTTCTGTTTACATCATCAAGTAGCTAACTGCGTGTTGGTTTCATGTACAAAAATTAGAATAGATACGTGTTCCGTATGTCCGTAGCTGTTCGGCCGAATTTAAAGGAATGATCTAATGTTTCGAAAAACGTGTTCGGTCATGTTTTGTGGGGCTTAACCGTTTGCCAAGAAGCAAAGTCACTTTAAAGTACGTGGTTTTGTAACGGACATCGGTCTGACTAACGGCTAACGGCTACAGCGCCTGACTGAGGGCTGCTGACAAGCTGTCAAATACAGATGATTTTTTAATTTATTAAAACTACACTGGAAATTAAAAATGCTGCCCTTTTCTGCATCTGTATAGAAAGATACGCTTTTTATGTACTTAAAATATTGATTAGCAAGGGGTTTCATTACGTTTAATTGCAGTGAGCAAACCGAACTGATAACATTAGTTATTGCGCTCCTGCTTTTCCTGCTGTGTGATGTCGACGTACACATTCTTCTTCAGTGTTCATATTTGCAACAGCATTTCAGTCAATGACAAGTGTGTATAGCAATTAAAGCTCAATAATATAGCCATCAGGGGGTATCATATTCCCTAATTAGCATATAGACTGTTTTGCAAAGGGACAACACAAGGCAGCGCAATTATTTTTCTTGTATATAGCTGCTAATGTCATTTTCTTAAAAACATGTCTGTGAGATTTTTTCATTTAAGCAGGAAGGTATTAAAGCACCAGGATAATGAATTTAAATTTTTTTTTTTTCTAATCTTAATTCCCTGCTCTGTGGGATTCCTGGAACAATTTACAGTCCACAAAATGAAGATTTACTTTGTTTCCAACAAACAGAGATTCAAATTAAACATATGTTTTTTTTGTGTCCAGTCCAACTGTCTTCATGAGTATGGCATCAGGGGGTGAAGGCCCATCCTCCACTCCTCCCCAACACACCAACAGGTTGGCCAAGGAGAGGTCGCCCTACCTGCTGCAACATGCACACAACCCCGTTGACTGGTGCGTGACTCTGAACTACAGATTTTCACACGCTCCTAAAGCTGATATCACACCGACTTATGTAATCTTTGTATTAGGTATCCATGGGGACAAGATGCTTTTGACAAAGCCAAGAATGAAGACAAACCAATCTTTTTATCAGGTATCAGATGCTTTTACACCTGCTGGTAACACGCATTTCATTTTGGGGCCACTTCCCTCTGAGTTTCAGCGTGAGAAATGAGAATTTATTCCATGTAAATCATCAATTTCCTGTGAATCTCTGTCTCTCCCTGCCCACCAGTGGGCTACTCAACATGCCACTGGTGCCATGTTATGGAGAGGGAGTCTTTCGAGGATGAGGAACTTGGCAGAATCCTTAGCGACAACTTTGTCTGCATCAAAGTGGACCGAGAAGAGAGACCTGACGTGGATAAGGTCTACATGAACTTTGTACAGGTGTGCGTGTGTTTACATTTACTTTTTCTCATGCAGGTCGCTTTATTCTTTTTTCTGCTAATACTGCCTCATGACTCTTGGTTGCTCATGTCTATAGGCAACAAGTGGAGGTGGCGGATGGCCCATGAGCGTTTGGTTGACCCCTGACCTTAGACCTTTCATTGGAGGCACCTACTTCCCTCCTAGAGACCATGGAAGAAGACCTGGACTCAAGACAGTCCTCACCAGAATCATGGAGCAGGTAAAAAGCTTTTTGTGTGTGTGTGTGCGTGTGTGTGTGTGTGTGCGCGCGTGTGTGTGTGTGCGCGCGTGTGAGAGGATGTCTCAGCCGCACCAGTCTTGAAGTTGCCAGGCAACTAGCACAAAATGTTCCAGCACATACAGAAACCCCTAGTAAACCCTCAATTTATCATTTTTACTCTTTGGATTTTGTCTGGATTAAACAAGGAAGATACAACATGGTAAGTCGTGAGGTTTAAAGGTGCTTGTAGGTGGATTTTTTTTTAACCTTTGGACAGAGCCCTGCTCTTAGTCTTAATGCTGACTTAGGGTAACTGTCTCTTGGCTGTGGCTTCATATTTACACAGACAGTGGTATCAGTCTTTTCATCTAACTCTCAGCAAGAAAATATTTCCCAAAATATCCAACTATTCCTTTAAGCAATACTTGGATGTTATTGGATTCAATTCAGGAGATATAGAGGGATCCAGAGGGATATAGAGATCAGAGGGGAAGATGAAGCATTGCAGCAGCAGAGGAGGACAAAGTAAACAAATCCAAATCTATTTTATCTTCAACTGTGCGCCTCTTCTTCAGTGGCAGAATAACCGTCCTGCGTTGGAGTCCAGTGGGGACAGGATCCTCGAGGCTCTGAAGAAAGGCACGACCGTCGCCGCAAGCCCAGGAGAGAGTCCTCCTCTGGCCACAGGTGTTGCTGATCGCTGCTTCCAGCAGTTGGCCCATTCTTACGAGGAGGAGTATGGAGGCTTCAGAGACGCCCCCAAGTTCCCCACGCCAGGTAGACGCAAACAAAACCCTAAATGTTGATCTCGCCCGTCTTAGCCCCGCTGGATCTCACTCTTTTTCTCTGCCTGTGTCTCTCTTTCTCACTCCGTAGTAAATCTGATGTTCCTCATGTCTTACTGGTCTGTGAATCGCTCCACCTCAGAGGGGGTGGAGGCCCTTCAGATGGCCCTGCACACACTCCGCATGATGGCGCTGGGAGGCATCCACGACCATGTGGCACAGGTTCTTATATCATTGTTCCAGAGCCGAGAACAAAAAAATGAACGGCAACAATCGATTAATCGTTTCATTAATTTTTTAATTTAAAAAAAGAGAAATTGTCTCCTTCAGTGTGAGAATTTGCCACTTTAGTTTGTCATGTCTGATTATAAACTGAATATACTTTGGCTATGGATTATTGACTAAATAAAACAACTCTCTCTCTCTCTCTCTCTCTCTCTCTCTGTCTCTCTCTCTCTCTCTCTCTCTCTCTCTCAGGGTTTCCATCGTTACTCTACGGATTCCTCCTGGCATGTACCGCACTTTGAGAAGATGTTGTATGACCAAGCTCAGCTGGCTGTAGCGTACATAACTGCCTCCCAGGTGTGTATGTGTGTGTGTGTGTGTGTGATAATTATTTCTCCATCCAAGTAATTTATCACCATATTACGCGGTCAGCAAAAACCATCGCTGCACATCTCGGCAAACATTTGTTTTGCTTCAGAGTAAATACAAACTCTCATAATCACAGTGTGGTTGCTGTCACACACACATATCGCAGTTCGGTAATTTGTTAGTATCTTTGATTTCCATTTCTACCGATTTTCACACTTGGACAAAGCGGAATGAAGATGCAGCAATAAACGGTGTAATCTGGATGCCATAGTTTTTTGTTTGTTTGTTTTCTGAACAGCGGCCTGTTTGTCAGACTGGACAGAGACCGCGATGTAGAAAGTTAATTAGGACGCAGGCATGAAGGCAACTTTAAACACACACACATACATGCTGTACATTCTCGTGTAGAGGTTACCTCATTCAATGCTTGCTGGTACTATCCTGCGTATAAATCTCATGACTCTTAGCAGGTATATGAAATGTTTTTCTGCTTATCCAGGTATCAGGTGAGCAGCGCTTTGCAGAAGTAGCTGAGGACATACTGCGCTACGTCTCCAGAGACCTGAGTGACAAGGTGAGTCATCTACAACCTCGTCACCGCTTCTTTGTGTGTATATGTGCATTTTTACAGGGGGAATCGCATGTCCTCACCAAGGTAATCGAAATAATGTAAAGCAGGCATTAAGAAGATGTAGAATGGAAGTTGTGGTAAGGTTTGGTTCGGTGTTAGGATGTGGGTTAGTGTTAATATTTAGGAATGCATGTTGGCAACGGGAAGTCATTAAAAATAGAGCAATACAAAATGTGGTGTGGCTGTTGTCACGCTATCTATTTTCGCTTTGGAAAAAGTGCGAACATTAGCTGTAAATCCCACCAGGAAAATAGTAAGTGTGCGTATTGTGTGTGTTTGTGTGCACACTCTGTTCGTACATCCTCCAGGGGAAGGGGTGGGACCCTGTTGACAAATAGGCTCTTAAACCCCCTGCTCTCCTCTATGGGTGAACCCTTTTTCCCCTTTGATTAATGGGTTGACAGCGGCGAACGGGGAACACAGTTGAAACTACACTCGTTGTAATCATTATATTTCTCAAGATTTATTATGTAATTATACACTAATGAATGAATGCTGCAAAGGTAATTTACTGTAGACTCCATGTTTTCTTTGCGCTGCAACAGCTGGGACCTTCTCTCAGGGAGGAAGTCTTCCAATTCTCATCATGACTGTAACAGTATTGAAATACTTAAAATGAGAATCATGTTAGATCTTTCTCAGGGCTTTCAAAATAATATATTAATACAGTTTAATTAAATACAGTCAGTTTTTGTCATTCTTTCCTCATGTGAAGTCTAAAAAAAATAACCCTGATAAAGTCAGTAGGTTGGAAACTTTAAAGTCACAGTGAGAGACGAATGAAATGGAATAAATTAGACCTCAACCATATTCTTTGCTTCCACTGTTTTACCTGTTGAGATCTAATATGATTCCGTTCTGATAGCTGCTCACTAGCTAAGGGTAAAGTTTGGTTTTATAAGATGGGCAGGGTTAGCTAGCAAGTTCAAGATGAGTCTTAGAATATTTTTATCCTTAACAGGAAGAGAGAAAGAGGGATTTTAATATAAAAATACTCAAATTTGATTTTTTTTTTTTTTTTCAAATAATTTTAGCTCCTTGAAGCCTGATTTCACCCTTCATCATTTCAGAGAGGATTATTTTTTTTGGTTACCTTTTATGGAGTCATCCTACATAGATCAGAGTGGCCATTAACCAGCCAGCTATTTGTTTCATCTCAAAGAAGCGTACCATTATTATGCAGCTGTCACTCTCCTTCCACCTCCTTCATTCCCGTCTGTCGTCTGGAACAGTCCGGGGGCTTCTACAGTGCAGAGGACGCAGACTCTCTCCCAGCGTCCGGGGGGCGAGAAAAGCGAGAGGGGGCTTTCTGTGTCTGGACGGCCTCAGAAGTTCGGGAGCTGTTGCCAGATGTGGTGGAGGGCACCGCTGGAACTTCCACCCAGGCAGACATCTTCATGCACCACTATGGCGTCAAGGAGCAGGGCAATGTTGCTCCAGAACAGGTACTTTTTTTTTTTTATTACGCTGCATGTAGCCACGGCAACCTTGGAAAGATTGAAGTTCCATTCATGCTTCAGACAGCGTTTCAAGGTGTTGAAGGCATTAACATGGCAGCTGTTGGCGGTCACTGAGTTCATTTGTGTGCACAGCCGTTCATCTCCCGTACTGTGTGTTGCCAGGACCCCCACGGGGAGCTGCAAGGCCAGAACGTGCTGATCGTTCGTTATTCGGTGGAGTTAACGGCCGCTCGCTTCGGCGTCAGTGTCGAGAAAGTCAACGAGCTCCTGGCCTCTGCCAGAACCAAAATGGCAGAAGTGAGGACGAGTCGGCCACGCCCACATCTGGACACCAAGATGCTGGCTTCCTGGAACGGTAACTGTCTAGAACAGGTAGTCTGGTCTAGACACTACAGCAACTAATTAACTAATTAATTTATTATTCATATATCTCGTGCCAGTAACAAAGTGCATGTTAATGTTTTAATTTATTTATTTATAACAAATGAATCATACTTAAATTAAATTATACATGTAAGATGATGTATATGTTCAGTAGGCGGAATAAATGCCTCTTGCAGCCTGATCAGACGTGTCAGTCATGTCGGATCAGCACTGTCCTCCGTTTTATTTTATGTGATTTAGAATTTTAGTTATTTACCAAATTTGTGTGCACTTCACTTCAGCTCAGTGTGAAAGTCTGAATTTGTGATTCACCATGTGTGTGTGTGTCGTAGCTCCTCCCCCACGCACACACAGCGGAGGAGAGACCGGTTGACAACTTGTAACTTTAAGTGCAATAAAAGCTTTTTAAACAAGACAAGTTATAAATCCCTGTAAAGCCAAAGATGGACAGACATCGACTCCAAACGTCTGAAAGTCCGGGCAGAAAATGAGTGTATTTTTTAAATGCATGCAATCTGGCGACAGTGACGAGCACCGGCAGCTCTTCTTCAGACACACTGTACTCTGTATGTATAAATCTGACTTTCAACTTCCAAAGTCTTATACACACATTTATCATCTGCAGTGTGAAAGCGTGTGTAGATTGTTATAGAGACGCATGTTGTCACTTTGCTCCAGTGCGATACCTCTTTGGAGACTCGTCAGTGTTGTTTGTCCAGCGTATTGTCTCAGATGTGATTAAATGCAAGAACAGAAAGCACAGCACACATGCATAAACACACACATACACCCATGGATTTTGCTCCCAGGTCTGACGTCTCAAGACAGAGTGTGTTAGCGAGGTAATGAGGCTCTGCGATCCCGAGAACTTTCCAATTAGACACAGGAGTCTTCTTCTCCTCTCTAATGAAGAAACACCTCCATTAATCACCTGTCCTTGGCTGCAACACTTTGAAGAGCAGACTGTGCGGTCACCAGGCTTTGATACACTACATGAAAGGGGAGTGGAGGGAAAGAGGGAGGAAGGGATGGATTTAGAGAGCGAAGAGAGAAGGAACGGGCAAGAACAAGGAAAGTTCAAAGAAAAATAACTAAGCTAGGACTGAGATGCAGCTGCAGGTTGGTTCCCCAGTGGGGAGAAGACTTGTTTTAAGCTGGTTAACAGTCACCCCACCACAACCACCAACACCATCTCCACCACTTCTTCCTCCCCAGGTCTGATGCTTTCGGCCTACGCTCGTGTTGGAGCCGTGCTGGGGGACAAGGCCCTGCTGGAGAGGGCTGTGCAGGCCGGCGCCTTCCTGCAGGAGCACCTGTGGGATGGCGAACGACAGACCATCCTCCGATCCTGTTACCGTGGAGAACAGATGGAGGTGCAGCAGATGTAAGAGACTGAGTAGTTTTTTTTTTATATGACTACAGTTTATAGACTGCAGTATATAGAGAAGATAAATGCAGTGAGAATGAAACCTGTGATTAGAATTGTCACTTGAATATATTATCTAGTAATAAGTTCTGGTGACAGGGGAAAAACCAACCACCAAATCCTGTGCACTGTGTATCACTTGTACTCTTGTTATGGTATTTGGTCCAAAGATACAGCTGCCTGACTCAACTAAAGATTTTCTGGAATGCAAAAACTTGCAAAACTTAAACTCATCCCTTCAAAGAACTAACAAATGTAATGCTTTGTAATGACCTTCACATTTTGAGTCTTGCTTTGTTGGGTAAAGCTAGTCCTAGGGTTTCACATGTGATAGAAACTTAAGTATGTAAAGGCTGTGTTGATGATCTCAATTTACCATACTCACATGCCCTTATGTACGCTGAAAGGGCGATTGATTCTGTGATTGCTCCCCTTGTCCATAGTTGCTGCCAAGAAATCGCTTCCTAATGCAATTTCAATGTAAGTAATGGGGGACAAAATCCACAGTCCTTGTTCAGTGTGAAAATTCATTTTGAGGTTCAGCACATTGCTGCTTTTCCTCGCGTGCTGCAGCCACCTGTCGATCAGGGGGATATTGTGAAACCCTCGGCAGGAGTTTGCATGTGTTGCATGCTTTGAAATACAAACAAAACAGAGACCCACTCATCAGAACATTTCCCCATAGTGCCACTAGTGATCCCAAACCCAAAAGGGTAACTTTAACATTTCATGTTAAATACCATAATTGGAGAATTATACAAAGAATTACCTTTTAAGCTCAAACAACCCACTCACTTGTCTCTTTCTCCTTGATACCTGAAAACATACTTGTCTCTTTCTAGCACTGAGAGAGTAATGCATTAATACATACTTAACTCCAGGATTTAATAATGTGGCAAAATCTATAAGGAAGAGTTTGACTTCACGGGAGCAATAAGCCGTTGTACTGCACTAGGATGACGAACTGTTTATATGTAAACAGGAAGCAGGGGTATTGGGATAAATGAGATTACAGCAGGAAATCAGAGAACATGTTGACATGCACTGCAGTAACATGGTTACGTTAAAACTGCATTTGCATGCACAAGTCAGTAATTAGATTTCTCCTCTACCCTCTATCATATATTTGAAACAAGATTGACCATATTTTAAGTGGATTATAGATGCCTGTTGACTGACACATGATGTTGAAGAGATGTTTTTTTTTTCCTGGCCAAAGCTTTTGGACTAACAGCACAGTGAGAGAGAATATGCAGTTCTTTACTTATTTAGATTTACTTATCCTAGTTTTACTTTAAGACACAGAACAAGTATGAAACAGTGACTGAAATGTGATCCATTAAAACTACATGTTAACCTCCAAGCCATTTCCAAGCAGCTGCTCTGCAGTGCTTCTGACAAAATCACCATACTCATAAATGAAAGACAAAGACTGTGCCGCGACATTGGCTATATTTACTTGTAAAATGAAAAGTGAAGAATAGCGACATTACGGGCGATAGAAAACTGTTTTTTCTAGTAGAAACTGTTTGAAAGAGCAACGGCCAATGGGGAAACTCCAACTCAGTCACGTGGCATTCGGCTGACCAGTGATGGAACTATAATCATTTAACTATATCACTCTCTCAGTCAGTCAGTCAGTCACTCAGGGCCTGGCCCTGCTGTTGCAGTTCAGCCAATAACCAGGTTACATAAGTGTATGTATATTTACTGATTGGCTATTGTTAGCAGTCAATCCTGGATTAGACTGAGAATGTACTTGTAGCATCACAACATACACACTCATGTAAATACACAGCGGCCTGTTGATTGTCCATGTGTCCTTGTTCTGTTGTGCCCTAGTTACTGTGAATGAGCGAGTGTGAAATGCCAGAGAATCAGCAGAAAAATACGCCAGGAGTCCCACAGCACGCATGATGAAAATGCATACAATCTTAAATACGCACATGAACAGATACACACTTATAACTAAACACTCTGGCCTTGTTCCACGGCTTCTGTCTCATTCATACTTGTCCAATTCAGGATGCAGTCAGCACTGAGAGTGCTTACCAAGGCCCTTTGCTTCTTCTTCATACATGGGTAAATCACTCATGCCAGGAACATATGGGCCACGGGCTAATTTACCAGGAGTAATGGTAGGTGCTGAGACTAACTGGGTTAATAGGCTCCGGAAGTGTTGAGGAGCTGACACCATAGATTTTCTGTGTTTCCTCTCCTGGCTTTTGTGATTGAGAGTCTTAGCACTGTCGTCAGCTAGCGGAGCGAGGCCTGAGAATGGGAACACTGAAGCAGGAACTCTGGTGATGTTGACTCATTCTTACTTGGTTTGTCAACAGGTTTTGTCATGTGCAGTCTTTTTGCGCTGCATTTTTCAGAGATGACCTATCTTGAGTTCTCTTTTCTGCACATTCTTCGGTAATTAAGTGTGAGCGACTGCAGGTTGTGAACTTTTTGTTTTGTTCAGTCTAGCTCGTCCACAGAATCACCCAGTTGTCCCAACGGAGGATAAACGACAACCACAGAGACTTTTACCGGAGCAGTCACCGTGCACGGTTCTATGAGAGAACCATTATGAAGCTATTATTATAAAACTGTCTCCGAGTGCTGTGATACGGTAGACTGACAAGGCGTTTTATCTTTGCCTTCAGGGGAATGAGTCATTTAACACACACTATTAAAGGTGTGAATGGAAAAGCTGTTACATATTTGAAAGGCTTTTTTTATTTTTGTGTTTGTGTGTCAGTGAAGTCTTCTTCAGGTCTTTTCTCAGGTTGTCATCCCGGTGGCTGGAGTCACCTCAGTCAGATGACATGTCATCCTGTGAAAGACGGAGAATCCTCCAGGGAAAAAAAAGACATTGCTGATGAGTGGTGAGGTCTGGGCTTTGGGGGGGGGGCGTTGACAATTTTACAGTTTAATTCAAGTATTAGCCATCAGCCTTAGTATTACAAATCCTTTTCTTCCCCTTTGGATTTACATTAAACTGGCAACGTCCTGTCCAGTGCAACAGTACTCGTGGTCTCCTCTCGGCTTACGACTCTGTCTGCGAGAGATAGGCCGAGATATGACTCCCTCATCTCCTCATGACCTCCTCATGCACTTCATCTCCTCTAAAGCTTCCTCCTTTTCTTTTCTTTTTTTTTCTTTTCTGCCTGACACAATGACACGGCATTTATCTGGCTTCCTGTCACCATTCGTTCCCCTGCACTCACTTGGATAGGGTGCCATTGAGAGAAGAGGGGGTGGGGGCTTGTTGTGGTGAAAGAGAGAAGCTGGAATAACAGAGTTTAGAAACTGAGTCATAGTTTGTTGACGCTATGGAAAGGTTACTACTGTACACACCAGTGATGTAGACCGGCTCATACACTTGATACAGATCGGTAAAGACTACAAACTCCAGGTTTAGACAGGACTTCAAGGAGAAATATAACAAGTAGAAATGAAAATATGATGTTGGATAAAAATTTAAGAGGGTGTAAAAGTTACAAGAAAGGATCCGGGGATGAGACGGATAAAGGGAGACGTGGCACACTGACGCTACAGGGAGTTGGGCCGGTGTAACTGCAGTCACATTTGTCTAATTACCATCCTTCATCACCTAAAACTTCAAAGACTCGGTGCGCACAGTTGCGTGTACACGTATAAATGTCTGATGCCTCTTGTGACAAGCACAGAGAAGGCAGAGATGCTTTAGGGAGAGATTACACTCAGTGTGTTATGTGTCGCGCTATACTGTCCCAAATAATCCCCTCAGGCTTCTTGTAGTCTCTCTTTAAAGTAAATTCTTCTGTGGTTCTATACTGTCTTAATAGATCTTCTTCAGGGCTTATAACCAAGCATGCGGTATATCAAAGATGAGGAGAAAAAAACAAACTGAACTAGTTCACCGACAGTTCGCTCATTCATCAATCAGTTCATTAATTCTTATTCTCTCACTCCTCTTATTGTCATGTCCCTTTTCTCTCTCTGTTCCTTAGATCTCCACCTATCTCCGGCTTCCTGGACGACTATACCTTCATCATTTGCGGCCTGTTGGACCTGTACGAGGCCACGCTGCAGACGGAGTGGCTGCAGTGGGCCGAGGAGCTGCAGCTCCGGCAGGACACGCTGTTCTGGGACGACCAGGGAGGAGGCTACTTCTGCAGCGATCCCAGCGACAGCACTGTACTGCTGCGACTGAAAGAGGGTGAGGGGATAATATGATAATATAATATAATAGTGATATTATCAGCAGTGATCTCATATCAGCAGTTTAGATCTTAAAAACAAGCGCTAATGAGATTCATTAGATTAATTACCGAGGTAATGAAATTATGCCGCATATGAGACTTCTGATTTTTGTTACCTCGCTGCCCTTACCTCAACAATAGCACATTCTGATCCTCAGCCCAGACACTAACAACACAATGTGATGAGGCACGACAAGCCACAGTCTGGTCTAATCTAAAGAAGAATCACCGTTCTTTGCTTATGTGATTTTTTTGATTTTTTTTTCAAAGCGATTCAGAAATTAAATTGATCGAATGAAAAAAGAGGAACTCAGCTGTGAGAGCAAAATATAATGTAAATAAATACCTTGAATTTATTGTGATTCACTATTAAGAAGAAACTTCAAGTGAATTTTGTTTAAGTAGTATTTATCTGTGCTTATACAAAGTAATTCAATATGTAATAGACTAGTATTTGAGTTGGGATCTAATCTATTATATATGTAAATACCAAAGAGTGAAGAAAAAGTGCATTAGTTATAAGAATTCTTGATCAGCTGCACTACAAATTGAATGATCCACAAATATGCGAAACTTGTACGGATGGATCCATAAATGTGTAAATGTTTACAGAGTGAGTTATCTGTATTTCCAAAGAAAAATCAAAAGTTATGAAGTTCATCCTGACGGGAACATGAATGTTTGAATTAGATTTAATGGAAATCCATCTAACGGTTGTCCATAGTTATAATTATCCAGTAATAGTTGATTTATTGGCTCAAAATAACAAATGTCTCACGGTGGTGTTAGACGAAAAGGTCATTAGGATTCATTCCTAAGTAGTAGGAGGCAGGAGTAGATGTCCAGAGATTTAAGTGAAAAGGTAAAAACTTTGACCTGCTGGTGGCGCTAGAGAAAAAGTCAAGAGATCACCAGAGTCGATGAACGTCTGTAGCAATCTCTCCAGTAATTGTTGAGAAATTTCCGTCTGGAGCGCAGTGATGGACCGGCAGACTGAGCAGAAAATAAGTGAGGTATTGATGCTGCTGCCGCTGGCTGGGGCTCTAATAGGTTGAGAGATGCAGGGGCAGGATTGACGGACAGGCGAAGGATTAACAATGCTACTGCAGCATACCTCTGCGGCTTAGACAAGTTCAGAGATGGATGGATAGCTCAGACAGAAGAATACATACAGGGTTTTGTTCTGCAGGCAGTTAGGTGATAACAACACATTGCCAGAGCGATTTGAATGAACAAAAGAAGCATGAATGAATAGCTGTAATTCATTTTAAGAACAGAAGTGTTGATGGATGGGTGCAATCATTCATGTATTCATCTTTACATCCATCCCTGTCTTGCCCACCTATATCCCTCACCTCATTGATCGAGCCTGAGCTTAACGAGATGGAAGCTTCTGCAGTAATACCGCTGCCAGTTTCACTCCATTGCTACACTTTAACCACAGGAGAGAAGGGAGGCAAGGATGGATGGATGTATGGATGGATGGAAAGATTAGCTAAAGGGGGGAGCAGAGGAATATTGACCTCCCTTACCTACCTCCAGCACCATGCAGCCTTCACTCAGGTTGAACCCCCTTCGCCATGAAAGCAATCAAAAGACAGATTCTTCTGATTCTGCGGCTACTTTGATCACAGGACCTGTCAGATCCGTGTCTCCGTCCATCTGCATCTGACAGATTGAAACAGCGAGCACGACGTACAGTGGGAATCTGAAATCCAAAATCCATCAATCTGTCTCTTCTCGCATAAATTCTAACTTCATCATGAAAGATATATGAGCACTAAATAGTTTCATCTTGCAGACATAACGGTGAAAACGAAATGCTCAATGTTTTACAGCAACAGATCATTGTCTCTCAGTTCTGGAGTTGTTTTCAAATTATATGTTGAAAGTTGATTTAAAAGAAACCACACCTTCCTAATAACAGATCTATCTTCTTCTTTTCCTAATCTACAGTGATATACAGGCAGCCTGCTGTCTTTACAAATAAGTACATCTTTTATCCAGTATGTGGGTTAATGTTGCAAAGCCGCAATACCTCACAATGCCTGTGGCTGAAATACGCTTTCTGTACTCAAGGATTGATGGGATATAAATATAAACGGGTCCGACCTTGACGTGCACTGCAAGCCCTTCTTCAGCTGCCAGTCCGCTCCTCCAAGTTATGGCTGCTGGCAGTTCAGAGAAGCTGACACCTTGTAGACATGCAGACATTTACTTTTGATCCGTCAGACCAAAAGATCTCGCTGCCTGTTTCTTTTTGTTTTTACTCTCGAGCTACTCCGTCTGACAGTGACCATCTATTTTAATGGCTTGCTTCTCCCACTCGTGTTTTTTATTTCTTATTCTCTTGTCTTCTCGACTCAGCTTAAAATCTCTCTGGTGATACAGTATGTGCTGTCAGTAGGCCGGTCTTTTCCCCATCCCAGTGGATCTCCTACCGTGTCTTTTCTAGTGTCTTATCATATTTTGGATTTGATTTTTGGCAGTTAATGTACGGAAGAGGATTAGGGCCACATGTGAAAAGAAAGTTATTTTCCGTTTTTTCCTCAAAGTCAATGAGAAATCGTGTTGAATAATCATGATCTCAATATTGATCAAAAATGAAACGTGATTATGATTTTTGAGATAATCGAGCAGCTCTAACCTGCTCGTCCTCTGAGCTGCATCACAGTAACTCAAACTGCACTTCATGGCTCTGAGATTAAAATCATAGTTGGGCTTGGGTTTTGTATATTGCTATTAATTAGTTTCGAGTGTGCAGTTAATGTATACGAAGCTACTTTTCATGTGTTCACACTGAATCCTCTGTATAAAGAAGAAACCCTCCAGATAGCATGAGAACTCTATCAGGGAGGTTGTCAGTTTTAATGTTCCAAGTGCGGCAGATTTATATATTTTTCACCTGAGAGAGAGAAAGAGAGAAATAAAAAAACTAAAAAAGCATATAGACACACACACAAACTCATGCGCCTGTGACCGATAGCTCGGTGCAAGTAGTTCAGACAGAAGCACGGATACCACAGTTGGGAGGGGGGAACAGCACAAAAGCTAATAGTTATTCTCGTTAAGAAGTGCTGACAGATCGCGGATGATGGTTATGTGTGTGTGTGTGTGTGTGTGTGTGTGTGTGTGTGTGTGTGTGTGTGCACGTGCACGTGCGTGCCTGTCCCGCCATCACACCTGCATCTGTGTGTGTTTATCGGAGTTGACGTGTGAGAGGTTTCTCATCTGAGAGGATTGACTGTGCCATTATCGTGGTGGCGCTGTGTAGGGTTGAAGCCCATTAGTGACGCTACAGCTGCTGCCGTGTAGCCTGTCACTGCAAGAAGGATTACCCTACCACTCAGCCACTCTGCATCTTACAGCCCTGCCACACTCCCCTGTGTGAATGTGTTTTTGAAGGGTAAGGTTAAAGTGATGCAGAGACTCTGTTCTGTTTTTATTTTAAAAAATTGAGCTGTTTGTTAAAATCTTTTTCATCTCCTGTGGCCAAAAAGCTAATTCAGCTGTATTCCCATTTGACAGAAATTGAAAACTTTGATACATCAGCTCGATGCCACTTCAGTTGAGAAACATCAGTATCACTAAAGACTTAAAAACTGATAAAATGTAGGTGTTTTACTGCTGTGCGTTTGTTTCTTCAGGCTTTTGTGTGTGTGTGTGTGTGTGTGTGTGTGTGTGTGTGTATTTGGAGACATTTCTGTCACAGCTTAAAATGTGTTTTCCTTGGGGCTCTATAAGAGGAGATGTATGTGAAATGAGGGAGGCAGACAGAGTCACTTGGTCAGCACTAAATGCGTGTGTGTTTACGGTGAAGCATCATTGCCATGAGGCCGAAAACAAACTGCTGAGATGAGATCAAATTATTTCTGCACTTCAGTCGTGTGGGTTCACGTGCATAAATACGGAAGAGGATTAGGGCCACAAGAGAAAAGAAAAAAGAAGTTCTGACTCCAGCCTGACCGATACTGGGGCCGATACCGAAATTAAGGAGTAAAAAAAATATTGATATATCGGAATTTATAATGAAAGCAGGATATTTTACAGTTTAACAATAAACTTTTATCGTCCAAAATGACATGAATGCACTGAAACAGTAAACCTCACTGGGAATTAAATAAAATAAATATAAAAATAAATAGGCCAATATCGGCCGATAAAATCAGGCTCAAATTCTGACTTTAAACTCTGAGAAATATTGTATATGCAGTGGACAGTGTACTTGTGTCAGCTAACAACTCAAAAGTCTTTTTCTCTCTCTCTCTCTCTCTCTCTCTCTCTCTCTCACACACTCACACACATACACACACTTGCAGGCACAAGCATCGGGGTAATGTTAAGCGGCAGACACATAGTGAGGTCATAGGTCATGAGAAGAGCACCTCCAGACTCTCAGTGGCCACTGATAAGAGATATCAGTGGCCACTACATCACTTAACGGGGCTAAGTCATGAGGTCGTCTGTTCGGCCCATCACATCACACCACGCACTTGCGAGTGTGCGATGGTTGTGTGCTGCGAGGTGATGGGATGGCATGGAGGGCGTATCTTAACTGCGAGCTGGTTTTCCAAATCGTAACCGATAATCCAATGATTGTGCATCCGCTCTAATGAACACATACATCTTCAGACAGTTAAAGCTTCACCAATCCACCACCAGTTTTTAGTTTTTGTTTGTTCACTTCGACACACTGCAGTTCCCCGCAGCTCTGTGGAGCTTGTTTGCCTCCATTGTCTTGGTTGTGTGGCCTGTGTCAAGCAGCCATAAGTATTTGGTTTTGTTTTCCAGATAAACTCGACGTGCTCTACCTGTTCAGCACCGTATGGCAAGGCAGAAAAGAAATTAGTAACTAGGCGGTGAATATACTGGTGCAGTAAGCAGAAAAAAAAAATCTAGATTCATTCATAATTCATAGAGACTAAAACATAACTAAAAGAGGGTGAATATTTTTAAGGTGGCCAGAAATGAGGGAAAGAAATGTGCTGTGTATCTGCTAGGTTGGTACTGTACATTAACAAGTCATCGCTTACAAGTGAGCGGCGGCTCGGTTTCACTGTGCCGCCTCCCAGAGCTCTTTTGGCTCAAGCCACAGCTACAAAGCTTGGTACCGGAACCGACCCGTTGCCTGCAGTTTATCTTAAGACTTTAACTGTTGAAAGCCTGATGAAAATGTCGTGTTTCTTTGTGTCTCTCAGATCAGGACGGAGCTGAGCCCAGCGCTAACTCGGTGTCGGCGTCCAATCTCCTGCGTCTGTCCCACTTCACTGGAAGACAGGATTGGCTTCAGAGGTCCCAGCAACTACTGGCAGCGTTCTCCGACCGTCTGACCAAGGTTCCCATAGCTCTGCCCGAGATGGTCCGGTCTCTTATGGCCCAGCACTACACAATTAAACAGGTTATTCTCACACTCACACAACAAGCACACGTGAATTGATTGGGTACTGCGAGTTCAAGCATTTACTTTGTCCTCCTGTGTTCGCACCTCAAGCCTCTAGTTACTTTCTCTAGTTAAGTCTTTTGTTGCTCAGCGTTTTGAGTGTATTAAAGGAAAGGTAGGTTATAAATAAAAGCCTCGCAGCTAATTATGTTGACATGTGGTCCCCTGGTGGGCTGTGCTGGCCATTACAACTACACCCAGTAATTCATAGTGACAGAGTAACGGAAGTTGTCATGGTCACAGAGTCTACACTGGAGTGTATTGTCAGTGGAAACCTGAGCATAGGATAGAAGAGTGACTTCCTCTTTTCCCCCACTCCCAAAGATGTCCAGCGCCACAACAATTTGCAGTCCAAAAAAAAAAGGTATTTTATTTTGAAGTGTGGTAGGAAAATGCGTCAGGGTGAGCAAACAAACAAAACAACAAACAAAACAATGTGGATTTTTATGTCTAACTTACCTAAAAGAAAAGTGAGAATAAAACACAGGACTCTTCAAACAAAAGCATTTGAACCAGTGGTCCAAATACGTTTTTCTTGGGACGACTGAGCGACCGTTATTGTGAAGCCCTGTCTTTCTGTAGTGAGTCCTAAAGGCTGGCTTAGCTCGGGGAGTGGGTGTGTTTACCTGGCTGTTCGCCTAAACTCATTCTCATGTCCGCCTACAGAACCCAAGTGTTTCTGCTCGCCTGACAAATCGTGCAAGAACAAGACATTACATTTACCAAGAGAAAGTGAACCAAACACATCCACAGTAACTGAACAAAACCTGAGCAAGAGGCCCGTAAAACAATGAACATCCCCATATCGGCGTCGCTGAGTCAATGCCATCGTGCACTGAAGTGAAAATCAGTGCGAGTAAACTAGACTGCAGGCCCCGGCGCTCCAGAGGACAATGTTCCTTTAACAGTGAGAACATGACGTATGTTCAGTGAGAAGAGACATTTTAATAATCTTTTCTGGATCATATATTTTTGCTGCAGCTACAAGTTTACTGTAAGTTTCTCACAAAGTGCAGCAAATCTTGACTCTCGAGGATTGTTTGATATTTTTACTTCTATTTTGAATTGAATGCGTCCTACACTCCTGCAAGATTCACTGCAGATCTAATCTACTGTAGGTTTGAAATTCCTCTTACTACTGAGAAAAGAACTGAGCAGGATGGTGAGGCACAACACAGTATACACGAGTTGAGTGTCTCAAAGTAAAATAGCCTGTTTTTTAACCTCCATTCACTTATTATCATATATAATATGTGCTTTTTCTACGACAGTTGCTGCAGCTCAATTAATTAATCTCAAACTATCCAACTATAATGTGTGTTCCAGGCTGAAAGCACCATGATATAAACCCTGATTGGATGAACCTCTGCTTGCAAAGTTCTCTACTTAGACAAGAAGGTAATAAGTAAATACTTTTATTTGTTTTTTAATACCTCAGTTGACAGTTGTAGGTCATTTGAGGACACTGGCTCTGTCTCAGCTCTCTACATATATGCACACTTAATCCCTGGACACACTGACTCTCAATATCTTTTTTACCCTGTTTTTTTTTTTAACAGCCGTCATGCATTTAATGGGCTATTTGAGCTGTTCAGCCTCGGTTATATAATCGGTTTTCAAATATTAACACCCTCAGTTAGCCTGAAGCCACGGAAACCAGCATTCTACCAAAGCACAGCAGTTGCCCTGAAGTTTCTTGGTCATCCCTAAGAAAACTTTTAGCTTGAAAGCGAGCGACAATCGAAGGAACAAAGAAGGAAATAACAAGAAGTAGAAAAAGAGAGAGGAGCGGGATGGCTCGCCCCCTGTCCGTCATTTATGACCTGCGCAGGATGAGTCGGGGCGATGGGGCGAGGTTAACGAGCTCAGGAGCGAGGCGAGGTGAGGCGGTCCACGACGAAACACCTGCCTCCCTTGTTACTGCTACAAATACAGTACTAACCTCTATCTCTTCCTCCCCCTCGCCCCTCCTCTTATGTGTCACCTTTCCCCTCTTATTTCACTCTATTCATACTCTTTCATCTCGTTATCTCTCACTCCTCTTCCTCTTATTCCCTTTTTCCTTACATCTTTCCTCCACTTTAATTTTTTTTTTTAGATTGTGATCTGCGGCCAGAGGGATGCCCCCGACACCACGAGCCTTCTCGCAGCAGTCAACTCCGTCTTCCTTCCACATAAG